AAGTCGGGAATGGAAGGAGGGAGCCCAGGAGATAAGATAGAGGAGATAATCAAGGAGAGATAGAGGTGGGGTAGATAAGGGAACTCATGAGATAAGAGAGAGACGGTGATTAAGGAAAAATAGAGATGAGGGAAATGAAGAAATAAGAGAAAGAGGAGATAATCAACGAAGAAGTATAGATGGAGAAAGAAATAAGTGGGAAATGAGAGGATGAGATACTAAGGAGAGACAGAAGTAGAAGAAGCAAGCATGAGAAAAAAAGGGACCAGAGGAGAAATGGAAATGGAAAAGTAGAAGGGGGTTGCCCAATAGAAAGGAGAGATAGAGAGTGAGAAAGAAAAGGGAAAGCGAGTGACGGTGAAGATGGAAAGGAAAAGGAAATGTTAATCAAGAAATGAAGTATAGTTTAACAGTCCGTGATACTGAGGTAATACAGTATAAGAAGACAGCAGCTGACTTATTCAGGGGTGTGTACACCGAACGTACTTTCTGTTGGTACTTTTCTTCTCTTATTTGACAAATAAGGGGGGACACTTACTCATTTTAACATGAATTAAATGTCACCAAAATATGGAATAATAAATGTCTGCACTCTCTCATTTGGTAAATTTTGAGCCTGCATTGTCATAAAAAGTACGCCCCTGCTCTCTCTACCATACAACCAAGCACCATGTTCAAAATACACGAACTTAGTTTCACATATTAAAACTTTGTTATTCATTTTTTTTTTCTGGGAACATAATACAACTGACTGATATGAGAGAACGAGAGACGAAATTCTATTTCTTTTCATACCAAACATAAAACACTTGATGGGAAAAATGACAAAGCCGACCTTTTCTCCCCACAGGAGCCTCGGGTTCGACATACCCGTCGCTCTCCGGAAGTAGGTATGTGACACTCACAGACCGACTGCCTTCCTTCCACTGACTGTTAGCAGTTGTTAGGCAAGCACTGTAGAAATTCAAGGTGGTTTGGGTTTTCATAACAATTATTTAAATAGTTTTGTAGTTTTCGGAAATAATTTATGCTTTTGTCTACACAAATGATGAATTATTTGTTCAGAAACAAATGAAATGAATAAATTGGTACGCAGGTTAATTCTGACTTTGCACAGGATCTGAAAGCAAATACTTGGCTTCTTATTCTGTTTCTGTACAGTAAACACGTGCAGTAGTTTACCTAACACATAACATACATTTTTGAAGTAGATTAGTTGCCGCAGTAGCTAAATTAGTGGTAGTGTTAATCTTGTAGTTGTTGTTAATATTATCCTCATAATTATTAATTATCCATGCCAGTATGATTGTGAGCATAATCATGATTATTACCTTAATTATTACTATTATCATCATTATTAACTTCATTGATGTTTCACCTTTCATCATTGTCATTACACGTTTAAAATATCATCGTCATTACTAATATTATTCAGATTAAGGTAACGTTCAGCTACCGTAAACGGGCCAGAAAATATTGTTCATTGTACATACATTCTCATTAAGAGACATTTAGTGCTGAAAGTACTATTCACCAGCGGTATGTGAAAGTTCCAGTCCATTCTGTGAGAAGGTTGAACAGTATTCTTGAACCATCCGAGGATATTTCATGTTATACGGTGTAAATTTGAATATGAATTCGCAGCAAGAGAAATTGCAGTCTATAGACGGTTTCTGTCCAAATCAGCTTCAGTGTTTGGTGTGATAAAAACATAGCAACTCAAGGTCACCTCCTCTTGGTGTCGAAAGATTTACTTCCCACTCACTGTCCTCTCTCTATCCCTTCCAGGACTTCTGGCTTCGACATCGGCTCCCGAACCCGTGTGCCGGGCACCGCCACCGGCAATCCTAGCGGTTCTCAACCTTTCGTCAGCTCGCAGCCAATCGGTCCCTCCAGCCAGCCCATGCTGGCTGCACCGACCAACGCCAACTTCGGAAACCAGCCTGCGCCGCCCTTCAACCGCAGGACCCTCCATCGACGTGGCTTTTTCGGCCCTGGAAGAGTCTTTTTCAACAACTGGCAATAAGGAGACAGCCTGCTGAGGCTTGTCCATCGCTCTCCTCTGCAAGGATGTATATGCTCGTCATGCAATGCCTCTCTTGGGAGTGTCTTCCCAAACAAAAGTAGTGAGCAGATTTTATGGATGGCCTTTGGACACATACAACACTTTGTATGGTCACGCAGAGTGTGTACATGTTGTGGTGCCTATACAGATACAGTTATGATGTAACTTACATATACACACGATAAGGCCTGACCTTTGAAAAAAAATACTGTTGATTATCTCCAGTCTCTCTACTCGTTCACTTTTGAAGCAAGACTTGATCATATGTGTTGCTCAGCTATCTCACATTACTATGTATAATAGCTACGTTTTCCAAACTGAATGGGGTCGATTTCGCAAACTGTCGGAAAGAAATTGGAAAGAAGCTTTTCTTCTATGCTTATCAAAAATACTTACAAAAATCAGGTACAAACTATTTATATTTGTAACGGATGTATTATGTTTTGTTCTCCTTTTTTGTTCTTTTTGTCCCTGAATGAAACAATGAACAAAGCTCCCTGAATAAAGTACTGTCAAACGGTTTCACACTGTCACAGATGAAAAGGAACAATATCTTTTACAGAAGCATTAGGTCTTGAGTCCGAGAAATTCAGCAGATTTCCTATTTTGCATTAATCAAAAATAATAGGCAAGCTTTTAGTTCAGTACAATTTACACCAACAACAAATATATAACAATAACCTTCAACTTCAGAGCTTGTAATGAATAGGGAAATCAATAAATGTGTAGAGAATAATTGGGAGAATAATCCATCAGCTTTAATGTTCTTATATAGGAAAGTTTAATAAAGTATATGAAAATTATATATTTCTCTTATTCAACATTTCGGTAGAATGATGATGGTCATCCGGAAAAAAAAATCCACGGATCAGAAAAAGAAATTCTTAATTAATTTCAATCCCGAGTGGTTTTTCGAATAATACAATGGAAAAACACAAGGGACAGAATGCTTACATTGAGCAAAGAATTAACAATACCAATGCGAATAAGTTTTAATAAAACTACGTGTTGTAAGGACTCAAAAATAGGAACGTTCAATGTGTTTGAGTTTGTTAGTCTGTTTATGTACTCTCACTGCTAGGAAATGATGCCAAACTCGATCATTTCATCCAGCATGTCGAATAACCTGGGCTTGAGCAGGCCATCTTCTCTCTGGCTCATGTCTAACAGGACCTTCTGACGATCCTTCATAAACTTCTCCATGTCTTCGTCCGACTTGACATCGAAGTCAACCACGTCCTCGTCCTCGCTCAGCACAATAGGAATGAGCATCATGCCAGATAAGCACCCGAACAGCATCTTGTCCCTGAACTCATCGCGGAGCTGGTCGACGTTGAAGGGCTGCTCAAAGCCCCCGGTGGACATGACGTGACAGAAGGCGTCATGGTAGACCTTCAAGAACTCCTCCAGGTTCTGCTTGCGCACCGGCCCGTTGAAGCTCGAGTAAAGGAAGTAGTTGAGGTCAAGTACAGGCGAGACCTTCCTCACCACCTGCAGGTCAACCAACATGACCTGCACAGGAGAGTCGGATTCATCATACCTGAGGGAGGGGGACCAAGTTAAACTATGAATTTTAGCCAAGTGAAGATGCGCCATAAAAAAGAATAGTACATCTGATGCATGCATTCAAATAGCATGGGTCGTCTTTAAAGCAGAGCAAGGAATAAATATTAAACACATTTGTAGGAGAAACCGATACACAGAAAGAAACTCGGAAGGGCTTCTAAAGACCTCTTTTTCTGAGATCGCTTGCAGAAAGCTAGCTGTAGTATTAATAATGATAACGAGAACAAAAATGATTATAAGTATGCTAATACTTTTGCTACTACTATTAATGCTATTAGTAATAATAATAGTAACAATAATAATGTATATAACATCAACAACAACAATAATAATAAAATTATAATAATTATCAATATCATTATTATTTTGTCTTGCAAAATAATAGCATATCTATTAAGACGTAGTGATTGTCATTTAGAAGTATAACATAGGATAAAAAGACAATAAATTACCAGGAGGCAATTGTGTAAAGTAAAGCACTCCCATATAATATCTACAGTTCCCGCGTAACCCCCACTTACTTCACTACTAACACTACTAGTCACCGTCGCCATGACTTCATGGAAGTCTATTTGAAACCTGGTGACCATGCATGGCCTAGATGCTGCAGTAACTAAAGGGGCCACTGTGTACGTACATACATACATACATACACACACACATATATATATATATATATATATATATATATATATATATATATATATATATATATATATATATATATATATATATATATATAACATCACAGTAATGAGGAGGGCACATTACCAAAGTCACTCCTCCTGCTATGAAGGTCCCTCTTGACAAGCCGCTAGGTGGGGGCCTCGCTCATCTCAATATCCACCTCCACCCAAGTTGCCTCTGCACGTGATAACCTGATGGGTGATATGGCCTTCTGGGAGTCTAGGAAAGTATCCGTATAACCTGAGTCAGTGGCCCCACACGTAGCGGCATCTCTACAAGTCAAATATCATGACTCCTGGCACTCTTCTAATCCGACTCTTGGTTTTTCCCATGTCCTAACCACAAGCATGTATCGGTCCTAACTGAATCCTAAATTCCTGGATCTTCGTTTTCGTCGGGGAGCATTCTTAACCAAAGGTCTTTGTCCGTTGCTATTTATATAAATGCACATACGAGTACAATTGATGGACACCCCCCCCAAAAAAAAAAAAAAAGGAACAAAAAGAAAAAAGTAATAGAAGAGCTGAATAACATAAAAGGACAGACAAGGGGAAGATTAAGTATCTATTCATTTTTTTACCGAATGTAAACGCGAGCCATTAATGGACAAAACAGAAAAACAAAGCAAACAAATGTCATAAATAACACCTGCACAACAGTCTTCTGTTATTAAATGTCAAAT